CTAGACGATCTGTTACTGGTTACTTTGTCACTCTAGGTTCCTCTCCTATCTCTTGGAAGACAAAGAAACAATATACTGTGTCTCGCTCTTCTGCTGAAGCAGAATATAGATCAATGGCAAGTGCTACAGCAGAACTTTTATGGCTCAAATCATTTTTGCAATCTCTTGGCCTTCATCATCAACGTCTCATGCAATTGTTCTGTGATAGTCAATCTGCCCTTCACATTGCTTCGAATCCCATTTTTCATGAACGAACAAAACACATCGAATTAGATTGTCACTTTATTAGAGAGCATATTTTGTTCAAAAACATACGTACTGCTCATATTCGAACTGATGTCCAGCCAGCGGATATCCTCACTAAGGCACTTGGGCGAAAACAATTCCAATTTTTACTGTCCAAGTTGGGCATTTCATACCTCCATGCTCCAACTTGAGGGGGCGTATCAAGAAAGCTGTAACAATATGTAATCAAGCCTTTATTAGGAGATTCTGATCATCTGTAATCAAGCCTTTATTTAAGGCACCTTTATTAGGAGATTCTGTTAATATGTTAAGATTATTAGGAGATTCTGATCAGTTTGTAATTGTTCTTTATTAGGAGATTCTGATCATCTGTAATCAAGTCTTTTTATTTAATTCTGATCATATGTAATCAAGCCTTTTATTTAAGGCGCCTTTATTAGGAGATTCTGATTTTTGTAATCAAGCCTTTATTTAAGGCTGCAATCTGTAAATGAAAAGTGAGCACTTCAATTCAAACAATTTTTGTTACCCTTTTCTTTATATCTATAATATCATTCTTTCCCCATTTAAATTTTAAAATATTTGCTCTCGATTGATGTTGTTCATTTCATATATGGAAAGGAATAGTTTTGAGCAATTCTGTATAAAACTATGCAAATGATTATAGCAGCACTTCAATATCATTTATTCAAGTCAAAACAGGAGATAATTTATTCAATTATCTTGTCAAACTAGGCAATAATGTTTAATTTTTTTTTTATATTTAATATCCTATCATTTGTTCAAGTTTGGGCTATTATGTATTTTGGTGGTTATCGCAAGAATATCCCCTAGAATTGTGGTTATATTGAAATTACAAGCATACCTATTAGAGCTATAGGGAATGATGTGCACTTTTTTTTTGGCATACTGTATTGAACTCATGATTAATGTTATTCATCTCTCCTTACTAATAAAAATTTAGTATATCGAAATTGAACATCTTTTATAAGATTTACTATTTAACACTTTTGGTACGTTGTTTTACCATCTTGACTTCTTCAAGATTTAGATGTGTAGAAGTAGTAGTCGTGATAAAAAAAAAAAAAAAAATGCACCAAAATTACGAGTATATGCTAAAAGAAATGGCAACATGATATTTTTTTATCCCTGATATAATTAGCCACGATCACTAGCATGGCTAACTATAAAAAAAATTCGTTGCTAAAGAAATGTTACCACGCTCATTGATAGCTGTAGCGAGGTGGAAAGAAAATTGTGGATAAATTAATGCAACGCCAGAATTGGCCACAGTTTTTAAAAATGTGGTATATTCATTTTGTCATGCTTTTTATTAACTTTAGCCATGATTTCTACCGTGGCTAAATGGAGTTTTTTTTGTAGTGATAATTCTCACTAGTAAAGTTTGGTATGTCGATTCAATACTAGATAAAGCTATATACTTTCTAATATTAACCTCGATCTGGTTATGCCTTTGTTATCCCTTGCGTTTCTACACTATGTTTAGGCTAATTTCTTTGTTATATTTTGATTTAACATGGTATTTTGGTACTCTTTCATTTTATTGATAAAAAATCCATGTTTAAGCCTAAAAAAAAAAAAAACTGGAAGTTTTCGGTGAAAAATAACAGAGAGAAAAAAATTACATACTTGCTTATGAGGATTTCTTTAATCATATTTTTCTCTAACTTTATCTTACATCCTCACAACCTATGATGCACGGACACTGTCACGGGACACACCGACATGTTAATTTTAAAAAATAGTATATTTTGACACGTTGGGACACGTTTTGATATTAAATAATATTTTTAATATATATAATTTAATTTATATTTAATAAATATAATAGTCCATAATAAGTCATATAACCAATCAAATATTCAAATTTCATAACATAAATATAAACAAAAATAATTTTTCGTACCTTGTTAATTTTTCATGTCAAATTTCGTAACAAAAAAAATTGATTTATAAATTATATTTTTTAATTTTAGTTAATAAAATAAAATTAAGACTAAAAAAAAAACATGCTCGAGCGTGTCCGAGCGTTGATCACGTGTTCGAAAAAATTGACTGTGTGTCAGAAAAACGTGTCCGAGAGTTGACCATGTGTCCCAAAATATTGACTGTGTGTCAGAGTGTGTCCGTGTCGGACACGCCCAATTCAAAAAAAATTGCGAGTCCGTGTTTCGTTGCTCACAACCACAAGGTTTCAACTCTATCATTTTTTTTAATTTTTTTTTAATTTTTTTTGAAGAATCAACTCTATCATCTTTATAAATTAGTTTCGTGCCATTTTATATCCATTTTTTTTCCTTCTTTAAATTTGCATGATTCCAAACATTCGCTCTAATCTACTTAACGGGTATCATTACTTTCCTTTTCTGTTTTGGGTAATCTTAAAATACAAGTATCATCTTGAAAACTTAAGACAAAAGTCAAAAAATAAAAAATAAAAAAATAAACTTCAGTTTATAATCTTCAACTATCTTTCCGCAATAATTTTGACATTCTAAATTATTAAAGGATTTTATACTTCTCGTGTGATATAACATGAGAAATTTTCTTACATATTTTTTAATTTTCGTATTGATATGAGTCTCACATATAACTTTTTCTAATATATAGGTCCCGCATAATTTTTGTTTCTATGACATAAGAAGACTCATATCATATAACACGAAAAGTATAAAACCCATTATTAAATATATTAAAGTAAGATGTGTTGTACTTGTATGTATTTTATAACAATATTACAGTGTCCTTCAGATTTGTAAAAAGGTCAAATGAAACGAATGCTTTATTTGAAAAAAACAAAGAAGATATTGTTGGGTTTTGCTCTTTCACTAAAGCTCAATAGGGTCTAGAGTGTAAGAAGAGTCCAAGAAACTTAAAGCTCATTTTGCTTAGGGTTAGGATTTTTTGGAACCAATATATATTCTATGCTTATAGTCATCAGCCTCTCTGGTCTTTACTTGATGGTTGCAGAGGTTGAGGTAAGGTCATCTCCCTGAAAGTGAGAGAGTGCCCACACACTTTCCGTTTCCCCTTGAGACATAGTCTGAGAGATCTGCCACAATCTAGCTACAAGGAGGTTGTTCGTGCTATGGCGCTGAGGTGAGCTGCTCGTGAAGATGAATCATACAAGGAAAGATTCTACACGAGACCTGCGCACCAAGAGGTAATTGTGAAACGAGGATTATTCGATAAGCATACCATGTACTAGGTCCTTGATCGCTTTCGCATAAATCCAATAGTTCCTACAGATATAGCTAACTAAATTTTTTCTAAAAATGCAAGTTCTTTTGTTGTCCGATTATGTTACAAATGAACAACATCATTTTATGTATAAAAAAAATCATTTTATCATAAAATAACTGTTCGAAAAATTCAAGTAAAAAAAATAGAAGCATCGAATAATTAATTATTGAGAAATCATTCTAATCACAATAATGATTGAAAAAATAATAGCACAATAATGTGTGGGAATATTTTTCTAATCATGACTCATGAGACAACTCTAACCACCTCTGGTCATGTGTTGTATATCTAGTGCCTTGTTTGAGCATGTCTGTTGATTTGTTTTTGTTCCTTTTGTATTCCATTGTTGGGTACGGGATCCAGTTTCACATCAAATAAAAAAAGAGTTCTATACATTAATCCAAAGTTCAATTCCGAATAATGAAAGCATAAAACAAGTCTTAATTATCATACTAGGAAGAACAGGTACTCACTAATGTGGGACATTAAACAAAGTATCGGAGTTTATTCATTAAATAAAATATCCAAAGTTCAATTAGTCGCTTTTTCCCCCTCCTCATGAGGACCATTATTGACCACTTTTAAGGCCGACTATGGTTGTAGCCTTGTAGGTTCTCCATTAAATTCAGGACGACCCACTACCCAAAAATAAAAATAAAAATTTACCAATCGGTCAGTGTTTGTGACTTTCTGTGTCTTATTATCATTGAAAAGTATTATATCAATATTTCGCACGTCATATTATACTTAAGAAATATTAAAATTTTATACATTATATTCACGATTAAAAATGTAAGAGTTGAAATGTGAATTTAAATTGAAAATTATCAATTTAGATGGTTATAAGAAAACATTTTAAGACTATCACATTAAAAAGTTAGGCCCCATCTCATAACCTGGCTTCAACTTCCAAGAGTTTCAACACGTGAGCTGCTCGTATATATGTGTATTGTTAGTTTTTTTTTTTTTTTTTTATGAACTGGAGATATCTCTATTCGACTTTTTCCCGTCACCTTGTTCTTGGAACACAGCCTCAAAGACTAATTCCACATTAATTTTTCATTGAAATAGAAGGTGCAAAGATGAAGCTAATCCCCCATCAAAGAGAGAGGCAATTTCTGGCCCCAAAGTTTTTTCTAAGAATTTGTTTGAGTCTTTGAATCCCCGACTCGACTCAAGCAAATCCTTTGATTGCCACCTGAGTTGCTCTTGAGTTTATATGTATTGGTAGTTGCTCCTACACATTCTATTTAATTATTCATTCACCCAAGAGTAAAAGTAGAATTTATAATAAAAATAATAATGTAACCGATTTCATTCATGACAATCATACCCAGTAAATTAAATTTGCCTTTTGCAAAAGAAAAGGACATTCTAGATCGCTACAGAAGATACAAAGAGACAGCAGCATCCCACAATTTAAAAGGGGCCATCTCAATGAATTTAGTGTGTTCTATATATCGTTTTATTTGATTGCCAATAAGCACCCAATCATCCACCATCCAATGCCCTCTTACATTCACATACACAAACTTTTACAAGAATGGGGACATTTTAAAACCAACAAATCAAAAAAATAAAAACCCAATCACAAGTCAACACAACTTTTGGTGACGGCTAAAAAATAAAAAAACACAAGAATCAAATTTCATTTTAAAAAAAAAAGGTGTGGCCTGCATCAAATTACCAAACCCAGGACCAAGGGCACTGCTGTCACTTGACGAGCTCCTCCACAGTAGGGAAGGAAGGATACCGTGTGCACCGCTTAGAGAGAAAAACCGTGCAATCATCTTTGGGGCAAATCGTAGGCACATAAGTGATTTCATCACAGCCGTCCGTTCGGTCCCTCTTGAAATCAATCAATGTGGCGAACATCGCAATGAACAGAACAAGGTGATTCAAAGCGTACCTCTGGCCCACACATTGGTGGGGCCCAGCCCCGAAAGACAGAAAGTTTCTTTTAAATATTTGATCCTCTTGCCTCTCCTCCAAGAACCGGCCAGGATCGAACCGGTCCGGTTCGTTGAACCCCTGAAACGACGACTCGAACACCGACGGGAACACGATTGCTCCCTTCGGAATCGTGTACGACTCCGTCAGCGGGAACCTCTCCGCAGCGATGTGCGGCACCAGGGTCGCCGGCGGCCGATACCTCAGTACCTCACGCGCCACCGCCTGCGTGTACCTCATCTCCCTTAGCTGCTCCGTGGTTATCAGCGCATCCGACTCCGGCGACCATATTCCGGCGACCTCCTCCCTCACCCTGGCCAGCACCTCCGGATGCTCATCCAGCAGCGCCACCGCCCACAGCAGCGACGACGTGGACGCATCCTGAGCCGCAAAGAGGAAGTCAAAGAGGTAACCACCGATCTCGGCGTCGCTGGAGTACGGCGGCGCTGGCTTTCCGGCGAGCTTCGTCTCCTCGATCTCCCTGAGCGTGTCCTGCATCCAATAATCGATTAGGCACGAAGGCTCTTCCCCCTTCTCCATCCTCGCCTTGCTCATCTCCGCGCAGGTGGCTAGGGTTGCGGCGAGGCGGTCGACGGCGAGCCTGGCGTTTCGGAAGGCGGTGCCGGGGAAGTCAATGGGGAGCTTCATGAGTCCAACGTTGAAGAGGAAGTAATCTCGCTCGAACCGCTCTCGGGCTTTTGGGCCAAGGTATGGGCCCACGAAGACGGTCTGGGAGGTCTCGAGGTTCATGTCGCGGGCCGGGACCCGGAGTGGGATTGGATGGTGGGCCTTATCAACCCATGACTTAAGGTGATTGAGGATAATAATCTGCTGCAGCGAGGTGTAGGTGGAGAGGGCCTTGGGGGTGAAGTTGGGTGCGATCCGACGGCGGAGATTCTTGTGATCTTGACCCATCATATAGATGAGATTGTGGTCGCCGAAGAGCTTCTTGCCAAAGGGGTGGCCCACGAGGTGGAAGGCATCGGGCCTGACATTGGAGAAGACCTTGTGGGAGAGTTCGGTGTCTCTGATGAAGACGATGAAGTTGCCGATGATGTAGTTAGCGGATAACCCAAGGTTGGTGGACTTTGCCAGTGAGGATTGAAGGTCCCAGAACTTTGTTGGGTTTCGCACCAATGGGATTGCGTTGCCTATGAAGGGTAGCACCAAGGATGGGCCTGGAATGAAACGCTTCTTGGAGAGGTATGAGATCTGTTCTAGTAGTATGAGGAAGAGGATGAAGCATATGAGATATGGGGTTAGCTGGGTGATGGAGAAAGAGGTTGTTGATGTGAGAGTTGTCATATTCATATCCTCTGTTTTTTTGTGTTGTTTTTGCAATGCAGAGGGAGGATTTATCTTGATAGAAGCAGAGGAAGGGGGAATGTTTTTTTGGGAATAAAATAGGTGGGAAAAGGAAAACTTAATGAGGGGTGTGGTCAAAAATGGTGGTGAGTGTTCAAGATTTCAAGTCAAATTTGAGTTTTCAGAGGTAAAATAAAGGGGGTAGGTGTCGTCCTGAATGAAAGAGTAGGAGTGTGTTGGTGGAGATAGAGTAGCAGAATTGGTTCTCATATCAAGGTATAGTAACTGGTAAGTGGGAGATACAAGAAAAAAAAAAAGAGAGAGAAGAGAGCACGGCGAGGATTGGGGGGAAGGAGAGGTGGTGGTGGTGGTGGGTCTGTGGTGGGGTTGATATCCAGCTAGGTAACGGCAGGGCATGACGTGGGATACATCGTCTAGGACAAGAGTAAAAAAACATTGGGATATGTTTTTCTCCATGAGTTAAATTATCTCATGCAACACACGAATAAATGCAACACACAAATAAAGTGAGAGTAAGACTTATTTTTTTCTTTCTTTTTTTTAGTGAGTCTCATTCATCTTTCTCTGTGTTATATGAAATAATTTATCTCATATATAACACGAGAAAAACATTTTCCAAAAACATTTTACCTTTTTCATTTCAAATTACTTTCTTTCTGCCTTGTTGTCTGACTTCTATTATATAAATAAAATATAAATTATTTTAAAAAAATAAAATAAAATATAAATATACCCGATGATTGGTCTTTTCCTTTGTATCCTATTCTAGAAGTCTAGAAACCTCTTCTATTGCTGTTTTTGTGTTTTTTTTTTTCCTCGTGCTTCGGTTGGGTTTTGTCTGTATCTCGTTGGGGTCTTCTGTTCTTTGAATGTCACCTATTAAAAATTCCCATTATTCGAATAAGCTACACATCTTTAATATAATTCTTTCTTAATATTTATCACACAAAAAAAATCACCAATAATGTTTTATTACGGCTAGTCATTAGCTGTAACAAAATGGTGCAATTTACCTTAATCGCGTCTGATTATATAGTATTTTCTTTTTATAGTTTTGGATTAAATTTACATTTAATATTCAGTCATATATTTTCTTCCTTTCGTTGTGCCCGTAGAATAGATCTCTTGGGCTCCACCACTAAGTTATCTAAATGGATAATAACAAATCAATTTGTGCATTTCAAGCGCTACCACGTTATGACATGAGCCGTAGCTATTTTTTTATCTAGAATAGGAAAAACTACAAGGTATATTATTATTGACAGTGACGTTTTGCTTAAATTTTATTAAATAATATTTTTAATTAAATTTGATTACTTGTATAATTATACAGTTTATATTTTATAATATTATTGGATTAAGTGTAATGCTCTTATAACAAATAAAACTCTTATAATACAGGGAAAAAATTACAAATAACGTGACCAAAAAATTTCAAATATCTTTACAGTGAAATTTTAAAAAATTATTTTTTTTAAAGTTAAAATCGCCGTATCTTTAATTTTTTGTTTTTATTTTATGCTACCAAGTTAATGTTGGAATTCTTAAAGAATTCACATATTATGAATAAAAAGTTGAGTGAAAAGTCATGCTTATTCATCCGTAAAAAGTTATGTCTGTTCGACAGTGAAAAGACATGTCTCTTCACACCCAATTTCTTATTCATAACATTTGAATTTTATAAAAATCTCAACAATCTCCCACATAAATAAGAAGTTCACTCATCATGATTAAATGGTCTCGATTGTTGAACTTCTTATTCATGTGTGTGGGGAGATTCTTATAGAATTCGAATCTTATGAATAAGAAGTTGGAGTGAAGAGATGTGTCTTTTAATTATTTTACGTATATGACTTCCCATGGATGAATAAACATGATTTTTCACTGCCGAACAACCATGACTCTTCACTGACAATAAGCACTACTCATCACGACCAATCATGGTTTATAAATAAAGAAGGGAATCAGAATAAAGTATGACTTTTCTGATTTCTCTCCCATATTGAAACTCTATAAAAAAATAAATGTTTTGTTATCTTTTGCATTCATTTTGTGCGATTGATTAATGTTTGTTGTGTCCGCTGATATTGTTTATTCCGATAATGTTACCGTCGAAACAAAGGTAACATGTCCTATCATGAGAGGTATTTGTCCGCGAACCTTAGGTATCGTTAAGGTGGCAAAATTGCCTTAAGGACATAGTATTAAATACTAGGTTCGGGTTTAATTTTTTGCAATTTTTTGTGTTTTCTCTTATACCACCATCACTAACAATATAGATTTTTACACTACTATCATTAACAATCTTAAGGTAATTTTGCCCTCTTTAAGATGCTCAATATTCGTGAACAATTATCTCCAAAGATAGAACGAATTACTCTATTCTCGTGGCGGCACTTCGACATAGAATAACCTCATCAAACTCAACATATGCTTGACCAATCACACTAGAATAATGAAATGCAAAATGCAAAGAAAAACTCTAAAATTTTGATTTTTTATTTATTTATAAAAAATATAAGGTCACAATTAAAAGGACATATCCGTTCATCGATGAAATAACATATCTTTTCAAATCAAACTTTTTATTCCTAAAAATAATTAATTTAAAAATTAACTCCAATAGTTACGACTACAAAGAGCATATGGTATAAAAAATTTCTATCATTGATTGAGTTTGCATCTTTGCGATTTTTTCTTCTTCTTCCAAATTGGGCGGTAGTTCTTCCCTTGAACAACGGTGTTAGCATTCTTCAAGAAGTTTGAGTGCAACTCTTCCTTCTGAAATTCCCAATTCTATCATATTATATTTTTTCAAAGGAATGAATATATTAATTCAATTGCTTGGGTCACGTCAATATGAAATTTCCAATGTTTCAAACTTGATAAGATCTGAAATTCCCAATCGTGTACGACCGGTCTTCTTTCTAGAACACCATCTTTCCATTCCTTTGTGGGTTCTATTCTTTCGGCAAGTGATCTTCAAAGCTCAAAGGTTCCTTCCACATAGACACCATAATCAACCGCCGTTATTATTAAAGCAAGTATTATTTATCGTATTAGAGAAAAAAATATATAAATTAAGAAAAAAATATTTATTTTTTAAAATAATATAAATTATTAATGAATTTTTATTTAACAGTTTAAGCTTTTAAGTTAAATTAATTTTTTTACACGTGACTGTTGATGATATGATCATGATGTTCTTCTAAATAGGACGATTATAATATGACTATATGAGTATTCCTCTTAGAGATAGAGACAAGTAATAGTTGACCACGAACCTCATTATCAGAAAAAATGGGATCCACCAAAACCGATAAATTATCTGTGGGCATAAGAGAAACAGAATCATAACCAATTTTTTTTTTTTTAATCAATTGAGCCAACTCATATTTAAAACTAATCATTTTGTTTTATAACGTGTAATAGATTGATCAAGGAAAAAGTGGATGAATTTCACCTATTACCATGGTTTGGTTAGTCAGTGAGCCATTTAATTACTTATAGTGACACATGCAATTATAATACAGGGATAGTTGAGCAAAAGGGATAGTTGTTCGGTGTTATTTTTATTTTATTTTTAATTTATCTGATACCATCAAAAACAAAAAGAATCCAACAACGACAAGATGCACTCTTCTTCGACTAGCTATAGGATCCAACTATAGGCTAATTAAATATGGAAGAGGGATATATGCTATGACATGATTTCATGGTGAACACCTATGAGATACCTACATTTCAAATTAAAAATTCTAGGTCACTGATTCACAATTTAAAATGAATTATTTACACTTTACAGTTAATTTGTTACTATAATTATTTTACAATCTCACCTAAACTGAAAGGGACAGTAAAACAAAATTATTGATTTTTCATTAAAAAAAAAAAGATTATAGGCTCTAAAATTATCACGTGACGAATGACTTTTAAGTTATTCAAAATGACAAATTTTAAATCTCATTCAAAAGAACGAAAATTTCATTTATACTTCGATCGTTTGATGGAAGTTTTCCCTTTAAATACAGGCAGCTAATTAGAGGACTCTATTCTCCTACCCCAAATTTAGGTCATTAACGTCGTATTACTAAAAGTAAAACTCAAGTTTGGGGTAGAAACAGATTCCCATAAACTCAACTCTCATGGTCACAGCAGGCCCAAACATATGCATTAAAAATCCAATATGCCTTATTATAAAAGGATTAGTGTTTTTAATAACGTAGGAGATAATTTTATTTTCTATATATGTATAAAAATATGTGGGGTTCATAATTTTTTTTTCTTTCTCTTCTCTTCACATGACCTCACATGGGCTCCATATGATTTTATATGTGTGTATGATATAATTTTATTTCTTATAACATAAAAAATGTTAATTATTATTATAAATAAATAAAAAATGAAATGCCCGCGTATCATGAATAAATTAACAAAGAACAAAGCTACTTCAAGAAAAAATAGCAAATCAACGCAAGCGAGGGGCTGCTAGGCATTTTATTTTATTTTCCTTAATTGACACGCAACAAACATCTATTTGCCAATAATACACATAAAAATATTCATTATGAATGGTGATCAGAACTTCGTATTTTAAAGTTCAGAGAATAAAAAAATGGAATGGACTATAAAAAATCAAATAAATTGTGATAGTACGTACTGTCTTACACTTGAAAAATATAGATGAAACTTCTAAATAGATAAATCACAATTTGGAATTAAAAAAGAAATTCAAATTTTCTAAAACGGTTATTTTATCTATACGGGCTCTTTGACCCATAGGGTTTATTTTGAGATTTTAATATACCAATTTAGTATTTGATTTTAGTTATTTATTAATTGGGGTTGTTTAGTGACGTGATGGGGACCCAGCGTCACTGAGTGCCGCACCCCCGCGTCACTAACACATTTTTTTTTCAATTGAGTGACGCCCCTCTCTCCAGAGGCACTCATAGGATTGTGCCAAGTGGCACAATCTCGTTAGCCCGTTACGGTAAAACTTCGGAAGACCATAACTTTTGATTAAGTATCTAAATTAGATGATTTTTTTATTTCACATAACTTTTCGAGGTCTATGCAATGACACCTCATTTAACATATTTTATCTTTAATTAACATAGTTCAAATTTGCAATAATAATTTGAACTATATTTGTGAGAGATAAAATATGTCAAATGAGGTGTCATTGCGTAGATCTCGAAAAGTTAAGTGAAATCAAAAAAAAAATCATCTGATTTAGATGCCCGAGTCAAAAATTATGATCTTCCGAAATTTTACGATAACGAGACTAACAAGATTGTGTCACTTGGCACAATCCTATGAGTACTCCAGGGAAGGGACGTCACTCAATTGAAAAAAAAAAAAAAAGAATGTTTAAGTGACGCGGGAGAGGGTCACGACAGACGCGAGCTACTGGGTTCCCTCGCGTCACTCAACGACCTCCATTAATAAATATTGTAAATCAAATACCAAATTAAAGAATTAAAGGGTAAAAAACCTCAAATAGGTCAAAGAGTCCAAGTTTACTTGCTTGTGTTCAACAAGTCACTACCATTTATCATTAACATAATCCGTTAATATTGCTTAAGCAAGATGACATAACATTGCCAGAACCATGATTAGTGATAAACATGTGAATGATGTGATAGTGCTCTATTCCACAATATTGATGAAGCTTAAGAAACGTGCACTCTTTCAAGAACCAAGATCAAGCCATATTTAATTTATTTAATTTGGATAAATAATGTGATACGTTAAAGGGATAAAATATTGTAACAATCAATTAGTGTCACTATTAGTGTCTGTTTGGATCTTCTCTTTTTTAAGTTAGAAGCTGCTTATAAACATAAGCTAGGCCAAACAGGTTTTGGAAAAAGCTCTTATAGTGAAAAGCTCTTTTTTTTATAATGAAGAAAAAAGTTGAAAATTAAAAGTTCCTAGGAGGAGCTTTTTTAGTGCATGTTTGGATCCTTTTTATTTTAAGTTAGAAGCTACTTATAAGCATAAGTTAAGCCAAACAGGTTTTGGAAAAAGTTCTTATAATGAAAAGTTCTTTTTTTTATAATGAAGATAAAAACTGAAAACTAAAAGCTCATAGGAGGAGTTTTTTTTAAGCTTTTATCTGTTTTTCTTGAATTGTGTGCTTTTTTTTAATGAAGAGTTATAAAGATATAGAGAGAAATAATTTTCTTGAAATATGTATTTTTAAGCTAAATTTTTTATGCAATTACCAAACAGCTTTTAGCTTCTTTCTTTAAGCTCTTTTTTTGTCTGCTTTTCTTGAATTGTGTTATCTCTTTTTTTAAAATGAAGAGTTATAAAGATAGAGAGAGATAATTTTCTTGAAATATGTGCTTTTAAATATCTTTTAAGCTAAAAATTTTATGTGATTACCAAACAACTTTTAACTTTTTTTAAGCTCTTTTTTTTTGCTTTAGCTTAAAAAAGAGAGCATCCAAACAGGATCTTAATATTACTATCAATCAATTTCATCGTTAGATCGATTATGTTGATCCAACAGTTATATTTATTTCCATCTTTGTATGGTTATGATTCTCCATATTTAATGTGAAAGCATTTAATATGGAAAATCATAATCATACAAAGGTGGAAATAAATATAAAGTATTAAATATGGAAAATCATAACCATATAAAGATGGAAATAAATATAATCGTTGGATCAACATAATCGATCTAACAATAAAAATTATTGGTAATAACACTAAATTGATTGTTACAATATCTTTCCCCTGAGTTAAATACTCCAATTTGTTATTCATTTTTTTATTTGACTTTTTCATTATTAAAGAAAAAAAAAGGGAAAAATTCGAAAACTCTCATGTGATTTTATTTTGAATCACTTATTTTCCTTTTTTTTATCATTTATCTTTATGGGTTTTTATTATCCGAATCCATTCTTAATACTATCAGAAACTTGATAAATATGTCTATTTTTCCCTCAATACAAAAAAAAAAACCTTCAACTATTTTGTATATCATCTTGTTCCTTTAAGCTTGGTAAGAGTTTCTGTTTGCTAAACAAAGCAACAAAATTTCTCTATTGTTTCACAAAAATTTTGTAAAGTGCCTGCAATAAGATAAGGAATTTTCTTTTTTATATCCTCTATGCTGAAATTTACTTTTTAGAATCAATAAATAGAGAAAACAATTTCACCTAACTCTGCATAGACAAATTCATTTGGTATAGGATTTGTTTGAAACTTTCAAAGTTACCATCAAAAAATGTTTATCACTCTTACAATCAATTTAATTACCGTTGATTTTTATCAATTTAATGATTATAATTTATTAAAAATTAATAATATTTATTTTGTCATGCGTATTAATTAAATATTAATTTTCAATAAACTATAACCTTTAGATTGACGAAAATTAACGATGATTAAATTAGTTGTAAGAGTGATAAACTTTTTTATAGTAAGTATATACTGCCCTATGCTTTATTACTGTAAATTGTAGTTTCTTTTTGATAAATAGTCTTTCAGCAATTAGAGGAGGGATATTCTTACTATCAAAATTTTCTACTACCAACTCACTACATATCTAATCACCATTGGATCAACATTTTTTCATTTTTCAAATTTTTTTTTAGCATTCTCTCTCTTTAATTCAATGGTGATTAAATAGATAATAAGTTAGTAGTGAAAAATTTTGGTAGTAAAAATATCCTCCCCTCCAGCAACTATGGGTAACTTTTTTAGCTGAGTAAAAAACAAGGATGATGAGGTTTAGTCGTTTATATTTCTCTTCCTTTTGGTTCGATACCTCTTTATCACAGCAGTTTGATTTCTAATGATAAAGTCAGATTCTCCTATGTAAAGTTATCATCATTCATACTTTTCATTGCGCGTCTATATTTTTTTCTTTCTTGTAAAACACAGACTGATTTTGACATATTTTTTTTGGTAAAATGATTTTGACTAATTTAATGTAAATTTAGGATCAATTTATCCTAGTAGTGAGTATTTTGTTCCCGGTTGAAATTTGTTGTGAGAAGTAGTATTATGACATGTCTCTTTATCTCATTTTGCTTATACTTTTTTTGATAAATAAGCTACTTTTTTGCAATAATTTGATGAAATTTGTAGAAATTTCCATGCATATTATCTTCATGTTCATTATCTTTGATACAACTTTCAAGTCTCTGATCTGAAACGACAAGTTGAAATGGAACGACGAACTCATTAGGTTGGATTGCATCATATTATAGTATCTTTTTGTTAGCTATGATATTTCTATGGTGATAATTAATTTTGTGTGTTTAGAAGCTTTTTGAACCAATATATTCTTTTTGATTTTGACATTTGATTTATTTATTTTTCTATTCATTTTTTTTACTTTTAATATTTTTTGTCAGGACTATAAGTTTTGATATATTTGATCTTTTTCTTCTTCTATCTTTTTTCTACTTAGTCTATTTTCTTCTTCTAATAAAGGTAAAAATAGACCAATTCATCAAGTTTCTAATGATGTTAAGAATGAACTTGAATGAAAAATAATATAAAATAAATAACAAAAAAAGCATCAGAGTATAAGTAACTCAAAGGAAAACTTTGGGAAGTTGTATGAAAAAGTTTTGAATCTCTAAAATATATAGTCCTTAAATCGATTTCAAAATTTATGCGTATTAGAAAACATCTTTAGAACGAATCTCCATTTCAACAATTTTCTCCAAAGAATTAATTTCTCCCTTAACAACTGAGAAAATGGTATAGAAAAAAAAAAATGGCAATCCACTTAAAATACTAAATGTGTATTTAAGGTCATTTATGAAAAATAATAATACAAAATTAAAACTAACAATAAATTCTTCCTACGAGAAATAAAATAAAATAAAACAGTTAAAGCTTTTTAAGTCTTCATGTTCAGTAATTTTGTATATATACTTGTTTAAAAATAAAAAATTATAAAACATAATATTTAACATATTAAAAACCGTTTTTATTTTTATTTTTTTGACTTTTAAAGAGTGCTTTAAAAACTTTTATTAGTTATCTGATAAGGAAGTGACAAGTTATGTCGATCGAGTTTATCGGAAAAAATTTCAGTGCATGGGATGTATCCAAGTGAATACATTCTTTTTCCAAAAGTGGAAAATAAAATTCCATTTAAACCCTCACTTTTATTTTTATTTACATCTAAATTCTAGTTTTTTTTTCTCTGTTTGAACCGCTGTATGATCCAGGGATAGCACCAAAGTTTCGCTCGAGTTTACCAACATGACACTCTAATCTCTATCTTGAAACAAACATAAACCAGACAAAAAAAGCTTTAATGTTTTTATAATAAATATAGATAATGATAAATACTATTATAACTCTGAAATAAATTATAAAAAATACTATTATAACTCTGAAATAAATTATAATTAAAAAAATATCATGATTTTTACCCAAAATGACGTTTTAAACTCAACGTAGATAACTTAACTATATTGATCGCAAAAAAAACGAACCCAAAATTTATATATATATATATATATAAATATATATATTTATATATATATATATATATATATATATAAGAAAAAGTTATATTTACAAATTTTTTATTTACAAACTACACTATATCTGACGATAATATACTCTTAATAGAGTATTACCCGTCAGCTATGAAGCACCGACACTTCAAAAATTCTGACGTGTCGTGTCCGACACTCTCCGACACTCCCCGACACTCCAACACGGGTTATAGAAATTCAAAAGGTTACGTTACGTTGAGTTTTTAGTTTCAACTATTAGATTCGTTGGATTATGATTACCATTTTATTGAGTTTAATATAAATATTTTGGATATCTTATGCTTCTTTACAAAATTTATAAATATTATAAGTTTAGATTCATTTTTTTGTTAAATTATTAAATATTAAATATAATATATACTACATAAATTAAAAATATTATTTAATATCAAAATATATCCTAACGTGTCGAAATCTAACATTTTTTAGAATTAACGTGTCGGAGTGTCGTGTCGTATCGTGTCACGTGTCCAGTGTCAGTATCGGTGCTACATAGCCCGTCAGACAATATAATTTATAACTTTTTTAAAAAAAAAATTGTAAATATAACCCTACTCATATCTATATAGCCATGCAAAAGAAGATGGGTTTGGGCTTATTTTTCACAAATATTAAGAGGAAGATGCAGTTTATTTTTGAAATATATCCAATTGACTATTAATAATTTTGTTTTCAAATTAATTAATATTTTCACCAATATGAATATATAGTACATGCAACATAATTATATTTACATTCATATTTCTCATCCAACCGCTTATATGATCATCTTTATAATCATCTTTATTATCACTGGATCAAAATCAAATTAATAATTACAAAATCAAATCCAGTGAGGACCATTAATTTTATTTTGATCCAACAATAACAAAAATAACTATAAATAAATGAAAGGAAAGAGAGAGTAATATAACCTCCCTTCAATTTTTGTTATTGTTGGATCAATAAAAAGAATCAACAAAAAAAGAAGAATAATGTCGAAAAGAACATGCAAAACTTTCATTAGTCTATTTAAGAATAATGTCGAAATGAACTCAAGTAAGAATTCTTTGTCTATAACTCAAGAAATACAATAGAAGTTTAGATATTGAAATCCAACTCAGCTAAATTAAAAAAAAAAAGCCACAGTTCTGTTTAGCATGGAAAGTAAAAGATAGCAACTCCAGCCATATGCCATAACAATTTAAAGTCTTCTACCCCTTCTACCACTTTTTCTACGAGTGCTATCCGAAGGAATGGGAGTGACATCCTCTGAAAAATCAAGACGCATGCATCAATTGATAATAAATGCCATACAATTTTAAATCAATTAGAAAACAAATCTGAGTAATACAATGAATACAGAAACAAAATGAAACATCGCATCACAGAACACAAGGGAATTACTGCTTTATACCAATTAGCTATACAAAAAATATATAAATAACAAAAAATAAAAAATAAGACAATAATGAGACATTTGTGTAAGGCAAATCAAGTTCTTTAAGGTTTTGTTGTTAAAAAGGAAAATACCTATACGGCCAATTTTCATTCCTGAACGAGCAAGGGCACGAAGAGCAGACTGAGCACCAGGACCGGGTGTTTTCGTCTTGTTTCCACCAGTGGCACGGAGCTTGATATGAAGAGCAGTTATGCCAAGCTCCTGCTCGTAAAATAATTTGAATCAGAACACAAATTTCAACATCTTCACAAAAAAATAATAACATCCTACTTAATACAATGACTTCACGGGCCATTACCAGTACAAAATCATTCAAACATCTCACTAGAAGAAATCATCAATGATAATGGCTATAAAAGCCCGAAGATCAAGTTGGAATTCTATCAAATTCATAAAGAAGAAAGCAGCATGCCGGTCATGAAAGTTAACAAGGTTAATAGAAATCTTATGACCTTGCATCTGGCAGCAACATCCTGTGCAGCAAGCATAGCAGCATATGGAGATGACTCATCTCTGTCAGCTTTAACCTTCATTCCCCCTGAAGTTAGGAAGCAAAGACATAAGAATACATCAGCAGTTGTCCTATTTCCAATGATTCACCCAAAATCTTACGATAGCTAAGAATGTTTGGGTCGTGATATAGAAATGGGCACCAAGTAAAACTTTGCCAGTTGAGAAACTCAAAGATTAAGATACTGTAAATAAAATTTCATAGAGAAGGGCAAAATTTCTTATAAAAAGGGCAGGCCAAAATCACTAAGCACAACAATTGTGGGATATGGGGATGCCTCAGCTCAAACATAAAGATCTCACACAAAGGAAATAAATTGTTATGAAGAATGAAATCCACTGAAATTGAATTAGGGCAATTCCAATATCAATATTATAAAAACATGTGAAAATTAACTAAAAACAGGAAAAATGATAGCAACTAAATAATAACTAATATTTCTATATTTTTCACTTTAATAATGTGCAATAATTTAATAGTTCCTGTGATGTGAAGAGAAACACTCATACCAGTGATGCGGACAAGGGTTTCTCTCCCAGACAAATCAGTGACATGCTGCAATCACAAAAATCATCCAATTACAACCAGCCTTCAGAAAATGAAAATCCAAATGAAGAAATGAAAAAAAAAAAAAAACTGCATATACTAACAATGAAGGTGTCATTAAACGATGCAAAGATGCGAGCTACGCCAAAGACATGTTCACCATCTCTAACAGCTGGACCCAAAGTAACGGTTTCCTCCTTTGGTTCCCTAACCTTTCTCCTCGACTACAGTGAGAGAAAAAAATCCTATTAGAATTGAATCCATCTTGCATTCCCAAACACATAAACCAATCCTATAAAAAACCCAACATTCAAAATAGAAAATTTACGGCTCCACAGAAAACGGACAAGTCTATGGGTTTATGATCTACATACCATGGTTGCAAACTTGCAATGTAACGAAGTGTTTCGGATATTTGGATGAAGCTTTGGCTTTTAAGGTTGCTCCTGCAAAATCACCCTTCGCAAAGTGAAAAAATGGAGGCAGCGTTTGCTTCGTTTTTATACGATAGCGAGATTAGGGTTTTGCAAATGTGAAGAATCAGGATTTGCAAGATTAAACCCCTCAACCTTTCTTATTTACGGAATTGGAATTCTTCAATTAAAGTAGAGTTTTGGGCCTGGGCTCTTTGAGGCCTCTATTCAGCCCTTTTATTTAATTAATACGCAGTTGCTTTGGGCCAAAAAGAAACGAATCGGGTCCAAGGTTAAATTCGAGAAAGCCTTGCCAGCGAAGCAAACAATTGCAAAGCATTGCGAAAACTCAGCAACATAATTTATGACTATACGAGAATAATAATGATAACGATAACGATCATAACAAAACATGATTTCCAATGTTTCTTCTTCGATGAACGATGAGGGGAAGAACAGAGGAATAGCCACCGATAACCCTTACTATGGCACCTTTCAAGGCGTCGCCAATTACTATCCTACGGCGGCCCCACCAGCTCCCTACGGTGGCCCTCATGCTTATTACCAAGGACAAGGATACGTCGCCGTTCCAGGTACAAGCATAGATTTTTATTGGATACATAATTAACCCACGTGATTTTTCTTAGAGGACAGACAAGAACAAATGTTTAATTTTGTCTCCTTTGTAATGTATTCACAATGTTTTTGATGTTGTGCAAGTTTATGCCGTTGCTGAAGGAAGGCCCCTAAGAGAACACCGTCTTCCTTGCTGTGGACTTGGTCTGGGTTGGCTATTGTAAGTTCAGTTTTTCATTTTGTTCAAGTTTATATAACAAATGCTGACTTAAATGTAATTGGCTTCAAAATTTTATTATTTAAATTTAGTTATTAATTTCTGTCATTTAGGGGGCCTTACTTGTTTCATAGTTCTAAATGCTTGCAATTAAATAAGCTTAACATCATGTCTTGCAATTTCTTTTAAAATTCTGGATGAAAGGATGAGCTGTTAATTAAACACCACATTTCCCCTCATAATTGTGGAGATTGCGCAGCCATGGTACCATCTGAAAGCATTGTGTTGCTTATTCTGAACTTTGTATTCTTCTGCTGCCTATCGTTGTCAGTCCCTTGCTTTTTTTGAAAATGGGCTTTCCAATGTGCAATGGAATTGGAAAGCCCATTTTCATTGAAGCATCTTTTTTATTATTTTTTTGATTCTTTTTTGCACGCTTCGAGAAGGCAACTTACCTCTGGCATTGCATCTCCGTTTTGCACCAGATTATCTTCTTGTTCATCTTCTTCCTTTGAAAAAAAAAATTGGTCTGTGGCTGAATGGACCTTCATCCTGTACTCATGATGAATGTTGGACAAAAGAAAGCTAGGTGCTACATTTATACATGGCAACAAAGAAAGCAAGTGTAATGAATCATTTGATAGCAGAATATATACCAAAATCAAATTGAAGTGCTAAAGTTAAGCAGCTATGCTATCATCATGCGATGTTTTTATATCAATCAAATAACAGAGAGAATTTTTTTAGCTATAGATAACACAAAAATTATAAGAGAATGGATTAAAATTGGATGTCAATGAGTGTGAAGTTCAACAGCCACCTGTCCTGGTCTTTATGACTAGGGTGTGATAATGATGGTGGTGGTTGGATCCTTTGATAAACCGCCTATACCCATATCCATTTAAGTGCTTGCAGTTCCAATTCTCTAAAAGTTGTATATATGTTCTATGATGATATTAATCTAATTTTTATTGCAAGGTTTATAATTGGCTTCTTTCTTGGTGGCGTTCCCTGGTACATCGGAACATTCTTTCTATTATGCGTACGAATGGATTATCGTGAAAAGCCTGGATTAATTGCATGTACAGTTGCTGTAAGTTTTTAACGCAAATTATTTCATTTTCACTTGTTTCAGGTTGTCTTTAATGCATTAATGGTTGCAAGTCATTTAGTGCAATAGTTGGTAGGCGGCTAAAAAGACTTTGGAAGATATTTGTGGTTGTTGCACTTTTAATCTCTTAGATATGCATCATATTCATATGTATTTTTCCCTTTTTTTTCATGATAATACTAAGCAGTATAAGATGATTTGCTGCCAAAAGTCCATTTGCTTATCTGCTCTATTTCATGCAGAAATTGCAGCTTCCTTAAAGCCAGTCCTCTAAATGGAAAGTGATGTTTAAAAGCTAGTTTTGTTTCCCAGTTAATAACCAGGATCTAGAATTGACTTCAGTGACATATTTATGCTTAGTTGTCCTTTATAATTAATCTTGACAGGTGGATGTGTGAGTCTTTCAATCAGGTCAAGTTCGTTTAGAGTGTGTTGGTACCTGATTCTGATACTTGGATAATTGCAAAGAAATAACAAGAAGAAGATGAATAACAACTTTTATTATAATCAGGCTGAGGCATACACCATCGTGTCAACCCTCAGATTCATGACAGCAAATTAACAATGCAGTAAAGATTAAGGCCACTTCCTAACAATGGACTGGCCGATTATAAAAGAAGATTACACTCCCACCTATCCCTTACAGCAACCGAGGCATATACCTTCTCAGTGCTCTAACCCACATATTGACAATAATCTTTTTTGCCTTCTCTCCTTTCCCGTAACCAACTTATACTGCCCTCACCTCTTTTCCCATTTCTCCAATATCTTCCTCTCCATTCATCGCTTGCCATGTGTCCCCATCAGTAACTAACTGTGATGTGTCCATACCCTTCCTCCTATGGGCCTTTCGACTGTACACTTGGACATATGGCTTGAGAGGCCCATCAATACCCCCTTCTTCAAAATCCACCTTGTCCTCAAGGTGAAAATAAGGAAATGCAGCTTGAAACTCCTCTAATGGCTCCCATGTAGCATCACAATCATCCAACTCTGCCCATTGTACCAATATTTCACTCGTACCATCCAGGAGACGACGAGCTTTCAAAACAGCAGCCGGTTGTAACTGTAACTCTAAGTCAGCAGACAAGCACCTAGGCAGGGGTAGTACCACCAAAGAAGGATGAATAGCTCTCTTTAATTGAGAGACATGGAAGACAGGATGGACCTTTGAATATGAAGGGAGCTCCAACCTGTAAGCCACGGGTCCAATCTTTGCTGAAATTGTAAATGGTCCATAAAATCTTTGGCTTAATTTCTGATTAATTCTCCTAGCTAAAGACCTCAACTTATAAGGATGGATCTTTACAAAAACCGTATCACCAACCACATAATTCTCCTCCCTTCTCCCTTTGTCAGCCTGCAGCTTCATTCGCTGTTGTGCTTGACACAAATTCTGTTTTAGTTCCACCAAAATAGCATCCCTAGCCCACAACCATGTATCGACAGCTGCCACGGTTGTGCTGCCAGGTGTAAAAGAAATAAGAGATGGCGGGTCACGACCATACACCGCTCGAAATGGGGTCATTTGAATAGACCTGTTATATGTTGTATTGAACCAAAATTCAGCCCAAGACAACCACTTAGCCCACCCCTTGGGATGTCCACTAGCAAAGCAACGCAAATAAGTCTCCAAGGTACGATTGACAACCTCGGTTTGGCCATCCGTTTGGGGATGATAGGCTGAACTAAACTTTAATTTAGTGCCCGTTAGTTTAAAGAGTTCACCCCAAAACTTACTCATGAAAATTCTGTCACGATCCGACACAATGGACTTGGGAATTCCATGCAGCCGAATCACTTCCCTCAAGAACACAGCAGCCACGGTCTGAGCATCATATGGGTGTTTAAGAGTCATGAAGTGGGCATACTTGGAAAGCCTATCCACCACCACCAATATGGTATCCGTCCCCTTGGAAACTGGCAAGCCCCCAATAAAGTCAATGGACAACTCCTCCCACACTTGTTGAGGAATAGGCAACGGTTGTAACAACCCAGCAGGCTTCAAATGATCATATTTTTGCTGTTGACAAACAGCACAAGCTCGCACAAAAGCGGCCACATCCTGACGCATTCCCTTCCAAAAAAAAACACCAGCCACGCGCTTTAATGTCCTCAATTCCCCCGAATGGCCACCCCAAGGAGAGGAGTGAAACTCCTGGAGAATGGCAGCAAGATGAGGAGAGGATCGAGGGAGAACTAACCTGTTTTTATACCATAAACTTCCTTTGAGTACTTGATAACCCGGATGAGAAGTAGCATTTTGTACGACATCAGTGAAAATTTTTTTTGTCACTGGATCATGAAGGACCTCTTCAGACAGTCCTTGCAAGTCAGGGCTGGTGACCTTGGTGAGCTCCTTGCAATCCATAACACGAGAAAGCGCGTCCGCTGCTGTATTTTCCTTTCCGGGTTTGTAACGTATTTCAAAATCATATCCCATCAATTTAGCCACCCACTTTTGCTGTCCTTCGACCATTAATCGTTGCTCCGTCAAATATTTGAGACTCCTATGATCGGTTGTAATGACAAAATGACGCCCCAACAAATAGTGACGCCACTTGTAGACGGCAAACACGATAGCTTTTAACTCCCGTTCGTAGACCGAGAGTACTTTATCTTTGTCAGAAAAAGCCTTACTGAGAAATGCTATAGGGCGGCCTACCTGCATTAATACAGCCCCCATCCCCACTCCTGATGCATCTGTCTCCACAAAGAAGGTCTCATCAAAGTTAGGCAGTGCTAATGTTGGGAGCAACAACATCTCCGCTTTGAGAGCTTCAAAGGACAATTGAGCCTCCTCACTCCATACGAAGCTGTCCTTTTTGAGCAGCTGAGTCAATGGGTGTGCAACCTGACCATATTGTCTCACAAACCTCCGGTAATATCCCGTTAATCCCAAAAACCCACGAAGACCTTTCACATTTGTGGGAGTAGGCCATTGTGACATAGCCTCCAACTTGTGGTGGTCAGCCTTGACACCCTCCTTGGAAATAAGATGACCCAAGTATTCGAGTTCGTTTTCCACAAAGGTGCATTTTTTTTTGTTGGCAGCGAAATGATTTTGTCTCAAGACATCCAACACTATCTTCAAATGGTCACAATGTTGGTCTAAAGAGTTGCTGTACACCAGGATGTCATCAAAAAAAACCAAGACGAATTTTCGCAGATAAGGCTTGAAGACCGTATTCATCAGTGATTGAAATGTAGAAGGGGCATTCCTTAAGCCAAAGGGCATTACAAGATATTCATAATGGCCCTCATGCGTACGAAATGCGGTCTTCTCAATGTCTTCTACCCTCATTCGAATCTGATTATAGCCTGATTTCAAATCTAACTTGGAGAAAATCTCAGCCCCATGCAACTCATCAAGCAATTCATCAATAACAGGTAAAGGAAACTTATCAGGAATAGTTACCTTGTTCAAGGCCCTATAGTCCACACAGAAACGCCAGCTCCCATCTTTTTTTTTCACTAAGATTAAGGGACTTGAATATGGGCTGCAACTGGGTGTGATCATGCCCACTACTAACATCTCTCTGACAAACTTTTCAATTTCTTCCTTCTGATAGTAGGGGTAACGATAAGGCCTAATATTAGGGGTGTCTGCCCCCTGTTTCAGTAGAATTTTGTGATCACATGCTCTAGAAGGTGGTAGTTCTGAGGGGGGTTGGAAAACATCATCATATTGCAGTAGAAGCTCTGCAACCCGAGGATCCTCATCGGGAGTACCAGTTAACTCCATTGCTGAATACCCCAGTTCAATATAATACCCCTCTGTGCTCTTCTTCCATGCGCGATTCATGCTCTTGTAAGAGACCTGACAATAAGATAACTCAGGATCGCCTTGCAAGGTCACCATGCTCCCTTTCCATGGAATCCGTAAGGATAATTTCCCAAAATTAGCTTGAATGTCTCCCAGGCCTTCCAACCACGAAAATCCCAGCACCACATCCACCCCCTTAAGACAGAATATGTAGAAGTCTTGAATGATTGACACATTAGGCAAGACTAGAGTGACTCCCTGACAAACTCCCATACCTTGGACTCGGTGACCATCTCCCACCTCCACCCGAAAAGACCTTGATTGCAAGGATGGGATCCCCACTATATCTACCACATGCTCCCCAATGAAGTTGTGAGATGCCCCGGTATCCACGAGCACCATCACCTTATGGCCCTGAATCTCCCCCCATAACTTCAGCGAACGGTTGGAGGTGATACCCACCACACTTTGAATGCTGAGTTGAAGGGTCTCCAGTTGGTCCTCGCCCCCTGTCTCCTGAATCGGATCTTCATCTCCGTCGGCACCCCCATCGTCGCTCACAAGCATCACGCGCAACTGTGGGTTAGGGCACACGTGCCCAGGACCAAAGGGTCCTCCACAACGGAAACATAGGTTGCGACGCCTATGATCAGCCTCCTCTTCCGGCGAAAGTCGACGGAAATTGTTTCTCCGGCGGCCATCTGACGCGTTGGCTGTCGCTCCTGGTGGTTGAGTACCACCTGGTTCACTCGTAGCCCCCCCAACGCGATTAGGATTCGCGAGGGTGTGGCTGGCTGCTGACGACACCTGGGTATTAAGTGTGTTGGATGTAGGGCTTTGGGCCGACGTTACAGGCCCATTTTGTTGCCATCTACTCCCACCTCCCTTATTTCCCAACGCGGGCCTACTTCCCCCCATATGACTATTATGAAGCCCAATCCCTGTACGGCCTACTCCACCATCTCCCCTTCCTAACACAGCTTCGCGTTCTTCAACCCGTTGAGCCAAGATCATCATCTCCCCAATATCTCCAGGTGAGTGCAAGCGAATTTCGGCTCGAATTTCCGGTCTCAACCCAGTCAGGAATGCTGCTTGCATTAATTCCTCATCCGCTTGTCCTAACGGAGCGGACAACACTTCGAACTGTTTTCTGAACTCAGCCACCGTCCCCAATTGCTTCAGTTCCATCAACGCTTCGTATGGATTTCCAGAAGGAGATGCATGAAAACGTTGTAACACTGCCGTTCTGAAGATCAACCACTCTGCCAATGGGTTTCGCGGTTCCCACCACTGGAACCAACTCAAAGCTTCTCCCTCCAAGCAAATCGATGCCGTCTCCAACTGTTCCTCTGGTGGAATTCGATTGACCCTGAAGTATCGTTCAGCTCTAAAGATCCAACCGTAAGGATCCTCCCCTGAGAAGTAAGGGACCTCCACCCTTTTCATTCTTTCTTCGTTCCTCACTATTCTTGCGTTGTTGTCGTTGTTTCCTCCTTGGCTTCCACTGCCATCACTGTTAGATCCTCCGGGTCTCCCAGCTCGAGCTATGTCCTGAAGGGTTCTCATAACTTCAGCCAGATTTGTTTCAATCCGACGAACACCTTCTTCCGTTCCTCCTACCCTAGCTTCCAACGTCTCCATTCGGTGGTCCATATTTCTTGTCAACACCATTCACTATTTGTTTCCCAGAAAAGAGCTTTGATACCAAATGTTGGTACCTGATTCTGATACTTGGATAATTGCAAAGAAATAACAAGAAGAAGATGAATAACAACTTTTATTATAATCAGGCTGAGGCATACACCATCGTGTCAACCCTCAGATTCATGACAGCAAATTAACAATGCAGTAAAGATTAAGGCCACTTCCTAACAATGGACTGGCCGATTATAAAAGAAGATTACACTCCCACCTATCCCTTACAGCAACCGAGGCATATACCTTCTCAGTGCTCTAACCCACATATTGACAATAATCTTTTTTGCCTTCTCTCCTTTCCCGTAACCAACTTATACTGCCCTCACCTCTTTTCCCATTTCTCTAATATCTTCCTCTCCATTCATCGCTTGCCATGTGTCCCCATCAGTAACTAATTGTGATGTGTCCATACCCTTCCTCCTATGGGCCTTTCGACTGTACACTTGGACATATGGCTTGAGAGGCCCATCAGAGTGGAAAAGAAGTGTCTGAGATAGTGAGGTTATATGCATTGTTTTTTGTATAGATTGATGACTATACCACTACTCCCCCTTAAATCTGACTAGCGAGTGTGGGGTAGAGGAAATCCTTGTACGCAGCCTTACCTTTGCATAATTGCAAAGAGGCTGTTTCCTGGATTTGAACCCATGATCTTTCAGTCATGAAGGAACAGTTTTACCATTGCTCCGGTTCGTCCCCTTAGATTGATGACTATACAAGAGGAATAAAATCATTCATATTAAGAACTATGTTAGATGCATTTGGCTGTTAAGTAAATCGGTATGAACATTCTTTAAAAATTCTCCAAGGTTGTTTTACCATCTTAAGAAATTCCTTACTACAAATTGATGAGCACGCACAAAAATGGGACCCTTGTTACTGGGATGTCAAATCAATTGTCTACTCCTATTTTGAGTCAGATATTCTCAATTTTATCAACCGTCCTTTTCCATGGATAGTATTGACCCAAGGTGATCTGTTGTCTGGCTGCAAACTCACTGCAGCAAGGTCCTTTTTATTCTGCTGTTGGTATTGAGAGGTTCTTCGCTTGCCAATTGGTCACTTACCTTGGAAATGTAAATGTTGGCGGTCCAAAACTCTTCAGCATACATGCTAAGTAGATGGAAAATATTAAAGAGAAAATTACAATTGACATATAATACTGTTGGAATTGGATGACCTCACTGGCTTTTTTAACCATTTGTCTACTATCATAATGACGATACAAATAAGTGATCTGCTTTCTTTAGATGTTGGGTTCATCTATGATAATGTTAGATAGGTCTATTGCTGCATTATGCTGTTTGATAATACAGACTGATCCAGGGATTGTAATGTAACTAGGAGTAATGCATCTGACATACAGTCACATATCCAATGGCCTGCAGAGTGGGCTTTGCTTTCTTCTATGCAAAAATGGGTGTGTGAGCAACTCTAACTAGGAAATAATAATAATATAATAAACTAGAGCCTAATTGCTGCTGTTACTTTTGCTCTTCTAAAATTTTAAGAATAATGCTACTTGCACGCACAATCATCTCAGCATCGTTACATTTTTCACCATCTAATTACAACTAGTTTCACTTCATTTTGTACATATTTATACTCTGGTTTTGCCACCTTACACAAATGTGAGGTAGGGTACTTGATTCTGATGTACACCGAGCATTATTCATATTTTAAATCCAACACAGCACTTTCTCAAAAGCATCCTTTTTTAAGAGTAAACTCCTAAATTGGTTCTCTAAAATTAGGATATCACTACATTATTCTTTTAAAGATGTTCAAATATTTTGAATAGTCATCAAATTTGTTCTTATATTGCCCTCCGAATATATCCTTTAAGCAACAAATTTTAGGACGTTTTTATATCTGATAAAATAGTTTAGTAAAAAAAAATAGATAATATAGTGACACGTTAATATTTATAGGACATTTAGGAATTTGCTCCTTTTTAATTTATTATAATTATTGATTTGATTTGGATGGTTTTATCTTGCCTGTGCTCACTTCGACTATGTATTGAATTTACAGTCCCTCATTGCTGTGGTTGCTCTTACCGCTGGTGTAACACGTCAAGATCTTGTGAAGTTGACATGAAGCACAAAATTTATTGTACATTTTAACCTGCACAACATTGTGGAGCTTTCCTTCCTGTAAATTATACTTTGAAACTTGTGTGAAAGTAACAATGGATGCTGTTCTTGGAAATTCACGCTGGAATGCATTTTCTACTACATATTAGAGCAGATGGAGTTTGGAAAGGCATAAGAAAAATAAAATATATGTACTCGCTCTAACTTAATTCCCTCGGTTGATTCACATTGACAAGTGCATGATCCTGAGTAATTTTAAAACTCATAAAAATAGTGTCCAATATGTAATTGAATTTCATCCGCCGTACCGCATTAGGTTCTTTCTGTTTCATGTCTATTTTTTGTTCGGGTGGAAAATAAATTGAAATGAGTGGAAGGCAACATAATGTTGTTTCAACCAAACGATGGTAGTTCAGTTGGCGTCAAGAAACTAAGTAGGTGGTGATAAGAGCATATATTTGATCCTTTTCAGTACTATCTATCTTTGAAATGAGTTTAAAGTCTTAATTCTGAATTCGTCTCAAATCGAACTAATCGCGAAACGATGAACCGATTGGAATATCTCAAAAAATAAAATATGTCACAAAATAGTCACCGGAACGAAGCGGCGTGAAGCAGGAGAGGAACCCAGTAAAGGCATGAAAGAAAAGAGAGAAACCAATGATCTTGTGAAGCAGAGTATCACGACTAGGGCTTTAACAAGAAAGAGATTTTAGTCATGAAAATATTAAAATTGGGTTATTTATGTCCTATAAATTATATAAGATTTTTCCACGAGGATCCAAAAATACCACATTATTTCATGGGATTCTTATTCACAATTTTAATTTCCACTAATCTTATTTTTTCAGAAAAATTTAACAAATTCTTGTACCAAATATAAGTAATTAGGATTTTCAATATGAATTTTGTGAAAATTTAAAATTTATCTCTACCAAACGCCAGTAATATCTATATGGATTGGTTGTAATACCTATACGGATTGGTTGAAACGCAAAACAGTGAAATACTGAGAAAGATATTATTTATCAGCTTATCCATTTCAGATACAACACTTTTTAATTGTGATTTATATGGGGTTCTAATAAGTCCCTCTATTGAACCTGTTTAATTTCGTTTTCATTTCTGGGCTTGACGCCCTTGCTGTACCAAAAAAGAATTTAGCAAAAAATAAGAAAATACTCTTTGGATTCTTTGATTTAAAGCTAAATTCGAGTGTAAATGAATACTTTCAGAGCCCAGACTACATAAGTAAAAAAAACAATGCTCCAAAATGCATGGTTATTTAAAGATTTCGAACTGATTCGGATAAAGTAAAAGCTTAATTAAAGGCCCACGAGGAATTCCGTGGCGGTGGGCGCAATGTTCACATTGCGCGGACTACTCTTATTGCGCAAAACAGGCTTATTGCACATATGATCATACTAAGCTGCAAGGCAAAACTTAAGAACTAAGAAAGGACATAGAGATTCCATAAGGTCCACCGCATATGAGAATCAGTGAAGATGAGACAGTTCCAGTTTGCCACCACTCTATGAAAACAGCTTGGCATCTAGACTTGTTCATCAAGAAATAGCCTACAGGGTAATAATTGTGACGTAAGGGCAGCCATCCTGAATTACCAATAAGAAAATATGTCGCCTACAAAGGACGACATAAAGCACACTATAAATACGGAGGGAACAATTCCAGGTACATATCTCTTAGTAAAAATATATACACATCGCATTGATACTGACTTGAGCGTCTGAGTATCTTTGCACGTACCAGAGTTATTTCCTTTGCACCAGAGTCACAACACAACCAAATCAAGAAGCTTTTTTCTCCATAATACCAGACTAACTTGCTACAATTCTAAGCCCATAACTTTCAACCTTCAATCGTGTATGATTTGATCCATACAGTTTTGGACTGATCATATCACGGACATTGAGGATCAAATTGATAGTAAAAACACGTTGAAGGATTAAATTATAGATACAAATTGAAGTTTAGAATTTTGTAAGCTCGTAATATTTAATATCTTTATATACTTTGATAATAATTCAAACATTAAAATGAAATAAATCAATTTAGAACAAACTCTATATCGTAAATTTTCAATATCATTTATATATTTTTAAAAATATTAATTTCCTTATTTAACTAAGTTTTATTTTTGATTTGTTATTTATATTAACCACGACTCCATGAGTCACGAAAAAAAAAGTTAAACAAACACTATTTTCTGGTCGTGGTGAAAATAAAAACGACAAAATGGCATTACAAAGGAAAAAGATAATATCCGTACATGATGGGCCTTGAGAAGGTCCGGCCCAAAGAACGAGCCCTATTACTGTTAGTTCTTAATTAGGGTTTCAAGGCTCTTCATATATAAACAAAAACCCTTCCTCCTCCTCCTACTCCTTCGTCACAGCACCGCGACTGAGAAAGAAAGAGGCAGAGAGAGTGTGTGTGTTCTCCTTCTCTCAGAAATGGTTACATTCAGGGTGAGTGAAACTCATAGTAACGGTGCTTGATTTCCTTTTCGCTTTGGAATGGTTTTTGTAACGTTTTGGTTTTTGGTTTACAGTTCCACCAGTACCAGGTCGTTGGGAGGGCTCTCCCTACGGATTCCGATCAGCACCCTAAGATTTACCGCATGAAGCTCTGGGCAACCAACGAGGTTCGCGCCAAGTCCAAGTTCTGGTAAAACATATTATTCTCGTCAGCGCATCTTTGATCTATTTAGATTTTTCGTTTCTTTTCCTTTTCTTGTTTTTTTGTGAGATCTCTAATGTAATGAATTGTTCCCTCGGTGTATCGTTTTACGATTCCAGCAAAATCAAAGTTAATTGTTTTTGTTTTCAATTTTTGATTTATTGCTTTCAATTAGGTACTTCCTGAGGAAACTGAAGAAGGTTAAGAAGAGCAATGGACAAGTCCTTGCTATTAATGAGGTACAATCTCACTTATGCTCTAGTTTCCCTGTATTGAAAATATGGCTTGAGGAGTTGAAAACCATATCAAAATGCCCGGATTGAACGGGACATTTTTATTATTGAGTTTCCTTCTGGGGAATGTATAGTTTGATAAGTTCATGCTTGGCTGAGTTTTCATGCTTTTGTTGGTGGTCAGTGGCATCAATGTAAATGTTTGTATGCCATTCACTCAATGTTATTATGAGTGCTGTGGAGTGCATCTGATGGTATAGACAAGATAATTATAATTGAGGAAAAAGGCATGCATAGCATTATACTTACTACAAAGTTTTCGTCTTTATATTTCATAATGGAATAAAAATAATGAATTTGTTATTTCTTGTCAAAAACGCTGAATACACCAAGTATTTCAAAGTTTGCCGCTGAATGTTTTTGTTGCTACATTATTGTGGTTAGTCCTTTGTGATGGTTAACCTTATTATGGATTGCAAATTTAATGGCAGACCTTGAGGATTTTGTATTTACCTTTTTTTAATGTAGATTTATCCTAAACTTACTTGTGTAGCCAAGGATTGATAATTTCCTATTGTCTGCAGTTTTTCTTTTCTTTTTTGCATTTCCCTGTTTGTTGTTTTCTTTTACTGTATTGTTTTTATTGAATTGTGTTTACTATGGTTTTGCTAAAATGATTGTTAATAATATATAATTTCATTTTAGTTAGATTATGCATGACCTGTTTCTTTCTCTTCTGGATAACCTATATTTTTTGTTATCTCATGTTATTTTCAAATAACCCTACAAAAGAAGTCATCTTTGAAAAAGGATTTTTTTTTTTTGCTGATTTAAAATGTATTCACTGATACTGTTTTCTAGTGCACTTCTCTGTTCCTGTAATGTATGTATTTGTAATGTTTAGAGTTGATGCTTGTTATGGTTTAATAATAATCTGTTTGGTTAGTTTGTGACATATTTATTTAATGCATATTGTTGCATCTTGCAAAGCTGTGTCTAGATAGTTGAAGATATATCCAGTAGCAATGGCTTGATGTTGGCGAACTGTGTGGGCTTTATTTTGTTGAATTTGTACATGTATGCAATTTTATTCATCTACAAGTGAACTTATTTTGCAGATTTTTGAGAAGAACCCAACCAAGATTAATAACTATGGGATATGGTTGCGGTATCAGAGTAGGACCGGCTATCACAACATGTATAAGGAGTACCGTGATACCACTCTAAATGGTGCAGTGGAGCATATGTATAATGAGATGGCTTCTCGTCACAGGGTCCGGTTCCCTTGCATTCAAATTATTAAGACTGCTACCATCCCAGCCAAGCTTTGCAAAAGGGAGAGCACCAAACAATTTCACAACTCCAAGATCAAGTTCCCATTGGTTTTCCAGAAAATTAGGCCACCATCAAGGAAGCTGAAGACCACATACAAGGCCAAAAAGCCCAACTTGTTTATGTAATGTGGTTGATCGATGAGTTACAAGTATGTAGGGTGTCTCTATCAGGCGCTTTCGGTAGAAGCATTCTGTTGGTTGTTGATTGCCAGAATTTTGTTTTGAGTATTTTTAGACTATCGTTATTGGGTTACGTATTTTCTATTGGATATTATCTTTAATCCTTTTGATAATTGAGTAGAATCAAACAAATTTGTCTTTCAATCTGGATGTTATCCTTTGCTTGAAATTTAGCATTATATTATTTTATTCCCTAGTTATGGTTGGCTGCGTTCCGCCTATAAGTCATATGAAGGAGTAATTATACTACTTCGAAACTATTTATGCAAATGATTGCTTCTCTTGGTGCATAATCTCCTTGCTCTTAGTTTTAGATCCTTTGGCAGTTATAGTCCGTTCTCAAATGTTGGGTGTAGTTCTCATGGTTGAATCAATCGAGGGTGGATCTTCCAACAACAAAAAAGTATAGTATTTTCTTCTGTTGAAACATTACTGACGTCAACCATTGGCAGTCTCATCTCCTATCTCTTGTACCTGATTTTTTTTTCGGAAAATTTTTGAGTGAACACAATTAAATTTGGATAGTTGAAGTAAATACAATTAGATGTCATGTTTATGTTCCTCCCATTAGAATCTTGTTCCTCGTATCCGTGCTTGTTGAACTGTTGATTTTGAAATTCGACTGGTTTTATTATTTTAAGCATTAACTAAGATTGGGAAGCGTTCTAGCTGTGGAGGGAACGTGCTATCTTGTGGGTGCGATTTGTAACCTTTCCTCCGAGACAAAACAGGAGCAAAATCAGTCATTGGGTTCACGTTCATAGGCTCCGGCCAATATAAACAGTTTTGTCAAGGCACAACTGATGTGGCCAGTTGCCACTTTAGAATTCTGTCAGAAAGATTACTAATGATGATGAGCATTTGGACTAAGTGTAGGCATGAGCAAAGCAACCGCCAACTTCTCATCTTTTTAACCTTTTGTAATGATTAATTCGATCATAATGGACGCAGCGAAACGGAGAAATTCTTAAGAATGTACTGTCTATATTACGTGTTTTTAAAATTAATATTTGTGTCCGGGTGAACCTATTTTTATTTTTATTTTTATTTTTTGTTAAAGAAAAAAGTTGGTATAATGGTATGTATCTTTTAAATTTTTTTCTGAGTACAACTGGAAAAAATAGCAAAAAGGAAAAACAAAATGTATTAAGTGTTAGCTAACATAATATATGAATTCAAAATAAAGTTAAAAAAACAAATTTTTTAATTTATTTAAAATTATAAATTAGAGTTGAGATTTTCAATTTATTCTTCATATAGAGTTTTGATGCTCAAACTACACTTTAAATAAATGACGGTAATGCTAATTAACGGAACACCGACCAAAATGTCACTGTTTATCAAGTTTTTTACCTAAATGTCACGCGAACAGTGTTATTTTCCAATCTGCCACGGGCCAAGTTTGTTATCCGATGTAGCGAACTAGGTTTGCTGATGTGTCACATTTCTAGTGGATAACAAGTACCAAGTTAAAAAAAAAAAAGTATGAAGGTCACTACATTGACCAAGTTCGTTACCCCGTGTAGCGAACTTGGTGTCCATTAAAAAAGTGACACGTGAGCAAACCGAGTTCGCTACACCGGGTAGCGAACTTGACCCCGTGGCAGATTGGAAAATAACACTGTTCGCATGACATTTAGGTAAAAAACTTGATAAACAGTGTCAGTGATTGATGTGACATGTCACTTTTGTATTTTTCGAATAAAAAACATTTATGCTGTTAAATTTTTTACTATCTAAATTTTTTTCCCAAAAAATAAAACTACACTCCAGAACACATTAATCATATTTTATATGGTATAATAATAGATATTTAATTTAATAAATCAGTTGAATAATAGATATTTAATTTAATATCTATTATATTTAATAATAGATATTAATGCATATCAGTTGGGGTATAGATCACCTTTCCTTCATTCTTTCTCCGACATACTTATTTCTATTTTGTCTTTGCTAATGTTAGGTCTCCTTTTTCTGAAGTGTCACACTCAAATTGTTTAGCCTATTTGTCATACTGCTTTCTTTGTCAAAGTGAAGCGCAACATTGAGAACACAAAGTTGATCACAATCGCAATGAAGCAGTAAGCTTGTAAATTGTGATGTCACTGTCCTCAACATTCTTATATGTATTTCCTCACGCTTGGATAAGTAAAGAACATGACGTAAAGACACTTATTTATAAGTAGTATGAGTTTAGGATCTTAATTTATTTGCCCTGGTTATAGTCATTTTGTTGTTTGTGTGTGTCGCCCTGCAATGCTTTGGATCATTGAACTCACACCAGAAGGAAAACAAATGAAGGATATTTACATCAAACATTAATAATATTGGGATTGTTGGTCTTCATTGCTCTTGAAACACGAATTCACTCTTCTACCTTACGCCAGAAGGACCTCCTTTAGAATCTACATTGGTTAAAAGGATGCAAATGTTTGGCACATTAATTGCTTCTGCTTTTGCCAAAAGGATTCCATTTTATCATATGATTCTTGACAGTGTGGATATTTGTACATTACATCCATAACATCTTGCGGGGATAGCTCAGTTGGGAGAGCGTCAGACTGAAGATCTGAAGGTCGCGTGTTCGATCCACGCTCACCGCAGTTTCTTAATTTTTTATTTTCGTGCCTATTAAGAAAAATGTGTCCCAAACTTGGTTTTTTGCAGTTTTTATTTTCCTTTCTTGCACCAATTTAAAAGTGTTGTTATAATAGGAAAAAAATCCACTTTTAAATCTAAGAAAATTTAAAATGGGTAGCAAATTTTATATTATATGTTTATCTCAATTAAGTTGAACTAGAGGTAAAAAGGAATATAAGTACACATGTTTTCCAGCTTCCTTCTCATGACAAAGGAAAAAGTTCAAAAAGACAAATTCACAACAATAAAACACCTTACTCAAGCTCATTTAGTCAACGAGACCATTGGATAGAACAAAAAACTTGAATGACACAACCCCTTTGAAATAATTATGCAAACAGAAAAACAACACAGCACTGTATGTCTGGAAAAAGCCGAAGATTCGCAGCTCAATCAATGGACACAAAAATACCCAATTTTCTCGTCAACGTGATTCTCTGAAAGCATCAAACATAATAGATAGATGTTTAGCAAGTAGCAAAGGCTACAGTAGTGTCATCTTCAGACCAACCCCACCTTTTATAACCAATAGTCTTCATGACCATGTGGACTTGCCTCATACATGTCTTGACATAAACGTTTATAACAATTAAGTGTCCATTAGAGAAATCAAACCTCATTCCCTTCGTTCACTTCCTACTTAATCTTCTCAAATCGAAAATAGTCGATTTGATGAACTTAATTATGACGATCATGAGATTGGAAAGCAATTAAAAAAATAGGACAAAGTTTGTTTCTGCAAGGTTCTTGAATCTTGGCAGGCTAAAGAATACGTTACCGTGTCATTTAATTATTTTTTTTGTTTGGATAACTCACATGTATTCTTCTTTACTGGAGGTAATTTTGTTCAGAGCGGATCCAGAATTAAGGTTTTAAATTATCCCACATGGTACTGGGGAAGATTGAACACATGCTCTCACTCCACATGCTCAGCTCTCATGCGCCAACTGAACTATCATCATATCCGTGTTATTTAATTATAAAAATCTAAAACTTTCTAGATCCACATAATATTGTAATATTCTTGGGTATCACATGCATTTAATTTTAAAAATATACTACTATAAGTCTATAAAAACTCACATGTACGAGTAAATTTTTAGTATTTCTGTTTTTTTTTTGGAAATAAAATCTTTAGAAATTTTTTTTATGCATCTTTAGTATTTCTTAGTATATACTCTATCCACTCAAATTAAAAATATATGGACTCCCGTGATATTAAAAATGAAGAAATGAATAGACTAAATACAATTAGTTAGATCATATATTTATATCACCTTTAAGTTTTTTATTTAATACTTTTTCGGTTAAAGATTTTTTTTTCTTTGACAAATTTCACGCTATAATCACATGTTCGATCAGTTTTGAATTTTTAAACTTACACACGCTCTTAAAGATCATTTTTATAAATAATTAATGGGGTTTGTTTAACGTGAAACAAGTTAAAATCTATTTCAGGAGTTTTTTTTTCGGTTGACTTCTACTTTTTGCTATTTAAAGGTCTGAACAATTAAGCACAGGTAAACTGGGAACTCTAGCTTAATCGTGATACCAATGAAAGAAAGATCAATGGGAAAAGGAATGAGTAACACTCCCACAAAAATTATAGTGCAAACTGTTTTAACATTGATATTGTTTTGTGGAACATCATATGCATGGAGTTTGGAGTGGTTACTATGTTTTGGGGGATACAAACCGGTTACTCTTCATTTTGAAAATCGAATGGCGGTTGATAATCCAGGATATGATATGAAAAAAGATGAAATGACATTGGTGTGCTACATGCAACGCAGTAAAATGTACGAGTTTAAACTGAATCCAAAGGCAGAATACAAGGTATGCAGTGGAACAGGATGGTTTAATGTTGCCCGAAAATATGAATGCAATGTAAGGTTGACTCAAACTAATTGGACCCATGATTTCACTTCATATCACAATAGCTTTTCTTGCACAAAAGACAAAAACTGCTACTGGAAAATCCGAAAAAACCATCCATACCTCTATTCTACAGCTCGAAATAAATATTATCCACAAAAGTATTATCATATTCAGTGGGGACCTATTTTTATTCCTTAACTGAAGAATTTTGAGAACCTTTTCTTCCAATTGAATAATTAGTTTCACGAAAGTGTGAACTCTTGTAATCACTGCCATTATAAATGTTTATGACGGGTGAAATTTATATTTAATAAATAAATACTTAATGCATGGTTGAATTACTTGATCTTGTTCTGAAAAAAGCTTATAGTGAATATTGTATATATTTATCTTGATATGTTAAGTAAATTTTTTAGGATTTGAAAATCTTTATAACTGTTATTTTTTTATTTTATAATTTAATTTTCTAACTCGATCTTAATCATATTTAAATAATTTATTTTATAAAAAAAAATGAAAATCATAGTGGAAAAATGTGAGAAAAATTTTAAAAAAAGAAGAAAAATCAAAATATTTATTAATAAAAATAATAATAAAATAACTGTTTTAAATATCACATGACA